GTCTGAGAATAAGAACTCATCCAATTAGAGGCCCAGTAAGCTGTAAAGCTGGGACAGCAGTACAAAGATTTCTTCAGAACTTACTGAAGTTGGGATGTCCTAGCGTTCGTTTGGACTTCCTCCAAGTTCACCACATTTGACCTGGCACAATTATGCAAATAAATGTGCTTCCAATGTTTTTTCTTCACTGTAGCATTATCTGTGATAATTTCCTACAGCAAAGTCAAAGATTCACAAAATATTTTTTTAATGTCCCAATGGGATGGAAATTAAAGTAGAAAAATGATGAGCGGCTTTAAAACCTGAAACATGTTTGGGTCTTTCTCAGCTAACTGATGTAAGCATGACAGTGAGCACTGATGACATTTGACTTTGCCATTACAAAGCAAGCAGAAAAAATATATACATGTGAACTTCCTACTAAAAACAGCATATGAAACCCTTTCATCCAACCAGATTTTTTTAAAAAATCTGCATTCTTACCTGATACTTTCAGTTCATCCCTTTCTTCAGGATTCATTTTTTCTACAGCTTGAGCTACGGTACATTCCAGAACCTCTGCCATTTCCTTTAGAAATCACATGAGACAACTTGTCAATAGGTGTCAGTAAGTTTCTGAACACTATTGTTAATTCAAACACAATTCCACAACAAAAACCTTACAGAAACAGACGTAGCATAAAAGCGCAGTTACACAAAAACAAAGTAACACAGCACCTCTTGACCTATGTGAAGTCAGAGGAAAATACTGTATGACAAAAAAAGAAATACAACCCAACACAAACAACCACACACAACATATATATTGATAGGAATTACATATATATTGATACAAATTACCGGAACAACATTTAGGAGCAATTTGCTTTTCGGATGTAAAGAGACCACTATGGCAAACTACCTTCCTAAACAAAGCAAGCAAAGAAACCCAACAGCTTCCTCAGCTGAGAATTCTTATTTCCCCATCAACAGGATTCTTTACTTCAGTGAATCTCAAGAGACTAAGAAATATCACACATGAAAACAAACAGAGAAAAAGCAACCAAAAAGGAGGGTTGAGAAATACTATTTTAAGGTATCTGGAGCTGCAGACATTCATAAAATTTCAGTAGATTCATTCATATTTTAAAAGTACATATTTGTGTTCAAATGTAAGGTGCACAGTCTCTCCTACCTGATTCTGGTCTCTTCCAACCTTTGAGCTCCATTCAGTCAGTGTTTTCTGAATGCAGTCCCGCACCTAAAAAATATTTTGATATTCAGGTGCGTTTATGTTTCAGTTGCATAGAAATACAATGATTCACAGACATATGGCAGACAGCAGGTAAACTCGTGATCCAATTTCTTCAACCACAAATGATTCTTCTTCCATAGTTTCCATACGAAACTTGTTCAAGCAAGCTAACTCTAGAAGAATTCTTCTCCTCTTTCAAAGAGTTTTAGCAGTTACACAAGTACCGTACTTCATTTATTTCTGACCAACACCATCCTAAAAGGAATTGTATGCAAGAAATAGAGGCCTACATTGTGGTTTTTTTTTTTTTTTAAATGCAGAGATTGTTAAGTTGCAAAGTAAACAGATAATAGCATATGTGCTGTAACAACATCAGTCACTTATTACATTCATAACCTCTCTTTCCAAGGTGCAACCCTTTTCCACCTTCTTATTCCATTGTATCAAATTTCTAGGAGGATCCTTTAGATCCTACCTTCAGTTGCACTTTTCCTTCTTTCAGATGTGAAATAGATCTGGTAACAATTCTGACTATGAATGTGAATAGGTTTGCCTTTCTACACTCATTAAGCCTCAGTAAGCTAATTAACAAACTGAACATTGCACCAGTGCTTTAGCTGTACCTGTACCCTTCCCTCTAACATGCCACCCTGCAGACTAATGCTATGCACTGTCAGACTATCTGCTGTGAGAGAAGCACTCCAAAAGCCCATGTTGCTGAAAGGGCAGTAAAGCATTTTATATCTGTGCAAGTACCCTCTTATATCTCTGAATGGCAGTTTCCTGGGACAACTAACACAAACTCAGAACCCATTACACTCCACACCAAGGCCAATGCTCTAAAGGGAGCCTACAAAGAGGAGGGGAATCAACTCTTTGAAAGGGTTGACAACTGCAGAGCAAGGGGAAATGGTTTTAAGTTGAGGGAGGGGAGATTTAGGTTGGATGCTGGGGGAAATTCTTTACTATGAGAATGGTAACGTGCTGGAACAGGCTGCACAGAGAGGGTTTGGATGGAGGTGTTCAAGGCCAGGTTGGATGGGGCCCTGGGCAGCCTGGTCTAGTATTAAACAGGGAGGTTGGTGGCCCTGCATGTGGCAGGGGGTTGGAGATTTGTGATCCTTGAGGTCCCTTCCAACCCTGGCCATTCTGTGATACCACCATACAGGAATCCAACACCACAAAAACAAGACATAATCCTGTAAGAACACTATGTGTGACACTTAAAACGTGAGGAATAACGTAATTGACTCAAAAGTCAAGAACTGACTTCACTAAGCAGCTATCTGTGACGCTAGAATTCTTTAACATTATGTTCCCATCAACACGGGCAATCTTCTCCTGTCTGAAGAAAAGTGCAGGACTGCTCAAGATGTATATCCCATTTCTACTACTTTGCCACTCCTTGTTACTGCAGTGCTGGATTGAACAAAGCTCTGTCCCCAGGGCACACCGCCTCCTCCCAGCACAGTGAGGCACACAGTGCGCCCCGTGCCTCTGAGCAGCACAGCGGTTATAGCTCACTGCTACCAGCCCTACAGTTCATTCTTCTCAACGTTCTGCTTCTGTTCTCACACTAGGAACACCACACACTGCCACACTAAGCAGAATAGATTAAAACTCACTTATTTCTGATAAATTATGCTGGTTTTGGAATCCCAGCAATGCCAGCAAGTTGGCAGCCTTATGTTTAAATGAAAACGTCTCTGTAATCAAATGTCCAGAAATACCCCAACGGACCAGCTATGCACACTGCCATTCTTCAATAACCTTCCAGATGGTACTGACACCATTTGCTGGTGGTGCTGCAGCATCCTCTTAGCTGCAAGATCTATTTCACACGGGCCACAACAATCAGTAATGGGGCCAAAATAAGAGCCATTACTTCACAACATCCACATAAAAGTACGAGGAACTCTTCCTTGGTATCGCATTGCCTTTCCGCGTGGTCACCACTCCCGTGGTCTGCATGCAGTCGCACACTCAGCCAACTTACAACACAGCATCACGTCAGTGCAGCTCTAAGCAGCTCTGCTGAGCGCATGAGGTCAAGCTTCAGGCACCTGGTCAGACAGCAAAGCAGGAGCTCTGTAGTCCACAGCCACAGGATGCCCCAGTTGGCTAGAATGATTGCAGGCGATGACATCCAGTGCTAGAGGTAATGGCTTTGAAATATTAATCAAAAGTACATTTAAAAACAGCAGATCACTTTAGTCTTCAAAGAAGACATCAGCGACTGCACTTCACCTAAACTTGTCACCGTCACTAAAGCATTAAAATGATTCTAAGTTGGAAAGGAGAACCTCACTGCTTGAAATGAGGGTTTGCGTCACGTCATTCTCCTGAACGAAGCACGAGGAACCCCCTCGCCTTACAGCCTGATTCCCCGAGACCAGACGCACGACGCGGTTACATCAGGTGCAGCCTCAACCACCACAGCTTACCAGCCCCGGCGCTGCCCTCAAGGCGGACAGCACTTCACCGGCCGCTCGGCCCGACGCGTTTCGACGCAGCCGCTCCGGGCTCACGGGATCAGCCCCACCCCTAGCCCGAACGCCGCCGGCCCGGCCCGCACCGCGCAGAGGCCGCCGCAACACCGCCGCGCCGTCGGCATTTCTCACGGCGGCTGCGGGGAGGCACGGCCTGCCGGATCGCGTCGCCCTTGGTAACGGGCGCCCGGAAAGCGAGCGGACGAAGCCCCGAAGGTCGGCTGTATCTCCACAGACGCGCCGGCGGAGGGCCCCCAGCGCTCCCTCAGGCGCCGGCCCACAGCCTCCCGCCGCAGGGCCCCTGACGGCCCGGGGCCGCCCGCTCACCTCCTCGCTGGGGGTGGCGGGGCACTTCTTGCGGCCGCAGCCCCAGCTCAGCAGGTTGCCGGTCTGCAGGTTGAGGGTATCCGCTCGCTCCAGCAGAGCGCGAGTGCCTTCCGTCTCCATGGCGAAGCCTCCCGCTGCAGCGGCACCGAGTGGCGCCGTGACTCAGCAGGCAGAGGGGCGGGCGGCCCGCGCTTTGTAACCGCCCGCGGTCACATGGCGCGAGGACAATGGGCGGCGGGGCGGAGCGGGGAGGGCCTGGCCGGGGAGGCAGCGCGCACCGAGCGCCGCTCGCTCCGCCGTCGCAGCCTCACGCGCGCCGGCGGGGCGGAGCGAGAGGTCGAGGCGGGCGGCCGCTCCGCTCCGTGCGGACGGTGGCCGGCTGCGGCCGCTGAACCAATGGCGCTCGTTTAGCTCGCGGAAATCGCCGCGGCCATGCGAGGTTCGGTCGCGGCGCCGTGAGTAATGCGTGGGGATCCAGAGAAGACGAGCAAGGAGCCCTCAGAGGAACCGGGTGCCCGTTTGGTTCTGTCGTGCTTTCTTTCGGATGAAACTTAAAACGCAGTGCAGCGACGTCACGGCGGTTCCGCAGCAGCCGTGACAGCGAGCGCGCCGCCGATTTGCGAAAGCACGGATTTTATTCCATAAACCACAAAAACCCGGAGCGCCGCGCGACCCGGCGCTGCGTCCCGCACTCACGACTGCCCCGGCGAGGAGCGCACCCCGCAGCACCACCTCCGACCGGAACCGAACGTCGCGATATCCGCACGGCCGAGCGACGGAAGCCTCACGCTCCGGCCCAGCGGCGAAGCGGCTGCCTCGCGCTTCCCGGGGCGGGGCGGGGCGGGGCCAGAAGGGGCGGAGCCCGACGGGGCGGGCCCGGGCGCTCCCGCTCGCCGCGGGTCCCCACCGCGGGGCCGGCGCCGCCCGATCGGCAGCGGCGCGAGGCCGGGGACGGCGCCGCGGCGGCGCGCAGGATGGGCGGCAGGGCCGGCTTCTTCGAGGTGGGTGCGGGTGGCGGCCGTGCCGGGGGGTGAGCCCGCAGAGACGGCCGCCGGCGAAGGGGCGACCGGGAACCCGGCGGGCCGGGAGCCGTCTCATCCGCAGTGAGGCGCCGGGAGCCGGAGCCGCCGCTTAGCGGTGCCGCGCGGAGGTTCCGGGCTCCTTGCGGGGAGCCGCGGGGCGGATCTCCGGGCCGCCTCGAGCGGCGATACCCAGCCGCGCCGGGCGGGACGGAGGCGGCGAGGAACGCTCTCGGTACCCGGCGTCCTCTCCTTTTGTGTGGGGCCGCGTTCGCGCTCTGAGAGGGACGCGCGGGGCCGCCGGCGGGCGCTGCGTCCGTTCGTCTGCTTGTGCGTGCGGGGTGAGATGGACCTGGAGGGCCGGAAGGGAGACGGACCCACTCTCCGCGAGGACGAGACTGGCTAATGCAAAGATCCCTAGCGGTGCCCGTATTACACAGCCAGGCGGTGCTGGCTAAATGCCAGCTGCCCTGTGGATCTGCGGGCTCGCGCTTGGTGTGCTCCAGCGCAAGACTCACCTAAAAACGCATTTCACCCAGTGCAAAATACACAAAATAACAAAACAGTTGTTACTGTAACATTAACGGGCTCCAAAACAAGAGAAAAGAGCCTGCTTCTGCGCAGCCTAAAAGTTGAGATGTTGCTTTTCAAAGGGATAAAAGTTTTTTGGATGTCACACTCGACGCACTGAGCTGTCTGTAGCTGCATTGGGAGCGAGGTGGGTGCCCACTCTGCCTCTTCCCTGTAATGCTGACCTCCCAAGTTTTTAGGAAAAATGCCCAACCTTGTCACCGCCTCCTGCATTTCTACTGCTGTCCCATGGTCTTGAGAAATCCAGATGCAGGAGCAGGCACTCAGCGGATGCCTCTCAATGTCCTCACTGTCTGACCTGCAGTTTGGTCTCCTGCTCCCATTGTACCAAGCTTCTTTATAACACCCATTACTCTAAAGCGGGGACAAACGTGAGAAAGTAGAATGATTTGTTCCACTCCACTGGGCAGAACAGAGCAGCAGAGCCTGCTCTTGGTGTCTAATCAAAATCCTCTGTCTAAGCAGCGCTAATGTAAATTTGGATGTCTCATGAATTTACATGCCAGCTTTGTTTCTTAGTCCTTTTCTCTGCATAGCAGATAATGGGCAAAAGCAGATGTGCCTGAAGTCATGCAGTGTGTGTCAGAGCAGACCCAAGGTGTGGCGCTGGACAGGGCAGTGCGGGGTGCTGTTGCCTATCGCTTCCTGCGCTGTTCTCACTTATTTGCTTTCGCTTACAAGTTCAAGGTTGCTCGGTATGCTGAATTGCACTTCCTCAGCAAACATCTGAAACTGAGTTATCAAAACCAGAAGATGAATGTTCCACCACTCCCAAGACTTCATAAGAGAAAAAAAATCTCTACTGATACCACAAGTGGTAATATTCCCTATTTTGGATTAGTGTGCAATTCTATACATATCTCTGTATATCTCAAAACCTTTTGCCCTTTAATGCTTCACTGTGGTGCCTCCTTGTAAGAATTACAGAGCACTTTACAAACACCAAACTCTTGCTCTCTGACCTTTTTCTAATATGACAGTTTAGTTTAGCAGAGATTTATCAGAATTGGAATATTCCTGTTTGGGGGCATTTTATCAAGGCCAGTATGTAATCAATTTCATATTGAGTATGTGGGAAACTCCTCTCCCTTACCCATAAATGGACCTACAAGAAGATGGGCAAGAGCATGAGACTACTTGTGATCAGACACTGGCTGTTAATTCTTTTACAAGAGTATTTCTTACTGCTGCTGAAGACTTCCAAAGTAGGGAACGTATTAATATGACTTTGAAGAAACCAGTGGTAGAAGGTAGATGGAGCTTTGGAATCACCTTCAACCTTTTTCTTTGAATTGGCTATGTTCAAAGTTCAGTGCCAAGAACTATGAGCAACAACTAAATTAAGCCCAAGTATGCTGGATCTAATGGATCAGCACAAAAAGTCCAGACGGGCAGAGTGATTTGCCTCTACTTACAAGATGTCTGCATTAGAACTGATAGATGGTCAGGTCCCCTGCACTCCTAGACCCACGTCTAGATGACTGCCTGCATGCTTCTTGTTCTGAAGTAATGCTACAGTGGGTCTTGTTTGGGTGCTGGTATGTTTATCATTTCATCTCACAGATGTTTTATCACTAATAGCTCAGAAGAAAAGTAGCAAGAACAGTTACTGTTCAGAGCTGTGTGCATGCCTGACAGTACTGGAGAAAGATTCATTGCCCAGAATGTAGAGATTTATGATAGAGACTGGTATCTAGATAACTGATGTTCTCTAGGAGTGCTCATTTATCTAAATTGATTAGAAAATAACTCTTCTGCCTATTTTAGATGTGTTTCTAAGCTTATGATATGACTGATCCTGAAAGTGCCAGCTTTTCTCCTTTCCCTACAAAGGGTTTATATGAGATGCTCAGACATAAATATCTGTAGCACAGAGCTCTGAAGTTAGGCTGATGAATTCTACTCTTTTTTTTTTTTCTGTTTAACAGGTTTAGGTCTTCAAAAGCATCGCATGTAGGAAAAATAGAATGGTCCTCTGTCTTCCTAGAGGAAATATGCTTAAGCAAATACTGTAGAGAATCAGTGTCGTAAGAAATTCAGTTGTAATTTTGCTTCCTTAACTAGTTTGGACGGGAAGTGCCTTTTGTAAGCAGTTCTAACCAGAAATGTTTTGGAGTCTTCATTCCCCGAGGATAGACTGAGCTGACATATGCAGTACTGCTAAAAGCAATAATGTACTGCCTCCCTCCTCCCCCCTGTCCTTGCTGGCATTTAAGTTTTCTCCCCCTTCTGACTGTGATGAAAACCTTCTGAATGCAGGGGGATGGCTGCTGCCTGGCCAGCATTGCTGAGATGTCGCAGCTCCTGTTACAAAGGCTTCTTCCACTCAGAGCTATGCTGTCTAGAGCCTCATCAAGTAGAGACACTGAGAGCAAGTGCCAAAAGCAGGACTGCAGAAGATTTTAAGATTCTGTATTCTCCAAGAGCTGCCCAAGCAAGACAAGGCCATGTGTGAGATGTTTCAACTGTCATTTAAAGGGAGACTGCAGAAAATTGCCCTGCTATTTGAAAATGTCATCTGCTTTCGCAAGTAACACATGCAATTATCATCACAGAAAGATGAGAATATGGGGAAAAACATTCTCCCTTTCTCTTCTCTCATCCGTTCTCCATATCCAAAACACTTTGTACAGACAGCTGTGTTTCTTCATTTAAGAGATGGGCAATTTGTTCTTTTTCTTCATGGAACTTAAGAGAGAAACTCTAAATTTTGTAGAGGGAAGTGTGACAATAAAATGTTACTTGGCAGGGAGTACCTGGAGCCATTCAGGGTTTGAAGGCTGCTTTTGAAAGCTAAAGTCTTATTTTAGAGACAATAATGGACTTATTTGAAGTATATTTTATAAACTAGATGTGATTAAAAAAAGCACAGCCCCCTCCTCCCTTCAGTCTCTTCAATTCCATGTTTGACGTGTACCCTGGATTTACATTTTCACATTCATCCACCAAATGATTCATGAAAAGTAGTAATGGAACTATAGATACTGAAGTTTGCAAATCACAGTGCTGATACAAAGAAATGATTGTGTTTTCACAGAGAATTTATAAGCCTCTTCTACCTGAATATTGCCACTGTGGAAAATAATTACTATGAACTAAAGCCCTGAGCTATAGATAGTCTCTTTTTCCACACGTAAAAGGCTAGGAAGTGCTGTTGAAAAGCCTGGATATCTACTTAGTATTGCATCAAAGCTGACTTAGATTCTCAGATGGAAGCATTCCAGCCTGCTTAATAGTGACAGTGATACTCAGTGAATGATGTGAGTCTTCAGCATGACTGGGAAATTGGCAATGTGCAGCCCTGTGTTAGCCAGGGCAAGAAAATACCCACTGAGTCAGAATTAACTGGTGCAGGCCACTTTCCCATCTTGTGTATCCTCTTGGAAGATATCATGGTAACAAAAACTGGAAAGCTTTCATAGGCTTTCAGGAGTCAGAATTCACTGTAATAACCTCTAACACACAAAACTCTAACAGCTTGTTTGTTTGTCTGTTTGTTTGTTTTTTGGAGAGGGGACAAAAATTCAGCCTCCCACTCCAAGGGAATAAAGTGTTACTTTCCTTCCTGACTTATTCTTACAGACTGTTTCAATCAGTTATATAAATGGATTTCTCATTCTGAAGGATGACTGTAGCCCTACAATTGTTGCCCTTCACAGGCCCAAATCAAGAAAGCAAACTAAGCTTGCCATGCAGTCACGTTAGGCACCCAGCTCCAAGAGTGGTTACGACAATTTGCTTAAGCTATCCATCCAAGTTTACTTCAACTCCAGCCCTTCACTGGGTGGTATATCAGAAGGCCTCAGCTGGAGGGAAAGGATGCACAGAATGACAGTGGAAGCAAGCGATGCTTAAAGCAATCCAGAAAGATGGGGATTTAGGATTTCTCTTTGGTAGAAGATTCCGGCTTTTTACTAGAAAACATTCCTGCCCTTTCCTGTCTGTACTTTTTGGTCTCCTGAATCCTTTATTCCTTGGTGGCCCAGATTCTATGAGAGGAGTTGGTAATGGTATGGAAGACAGTCTATAGCAGGTTTCCGTTTCTTGGCTGTGTGTCTAACCATTATATATAAAGCATGAAGGACCACATCACCTTCTTTGCAATAGCTTAGTTTCATTCAGAATTAATTTAAATGCTGTGCTTCGTGCTGACCTTGGAATGATGCTGCTACAGGATCAAGGTCCTTAAGGGTTTACATGCAAGCATGCCTAGCTAACAAGTCTGAAACAGGTGGAAGAAATAGAAAGATATTGAGTTTCAGTACATTCCAGATGATCGTTCTCGTGAGCGTACATAGGAGCATTAGGAGGATCATTAGGAGGCTGAGCAGTAAAACACCTGGTGTGTATTTTGTGAACTTGTGCACGTTAGACATCTGCTTTATGAAAGAGAAATTTAATTGTCCAAGTATCACTGCATCTCCTTTTTTAAACTAGGTGAAATAGCAATAAGATGCTAGTTTCATGAAATATGAGCTCTTCAGAGAGGTAAGGCTTTATCTAGTTGAACTACTGACAGAATAATTGTTCTTAACAGATTAGGATGAAATTTGGCTTTGTAGTAATGACTGAAAACTACAGCAGTTTCCCCTTGGCTTAACTCTAATGACTTAAAGGAAGTTATTTCCAATATGCCCTAGTGAGAAATCACACTGAGCCATGTCTGCTTCCTTCATAAAAAACACAGTATTCCAGAAAATTCTAAGAGAATAGAGAAAATGACTAATGCTATAGGAAGAATAAAATGTTTAGAAAGATATAGTTGGGACTGTGGCAACCACTGATTTTTTTTTTGGGGGGGGTGGTTGAATTAAAGGACCCTCACTGATATAAGCAGTCCAATAGTTCAGGGATAATTCTTTCGTTTTGCATAGCTCTCTCTTGGGCTGCTTGGTTCCTGGGCTGTAAAATAAGCAGGTTTTGGGTTGGTTTTTTTTTTCCTAACTTAAAAATAAACCAATACAATATATGCTTATGTTGGTGTTCAAAAAATCTCTCTAAGCTGAAGTTTGGAGTTTACTGAATCTGCTGAGTACAAATGACTGCAAATTATGCTTCCGACATGCAGAAACATGATGTGTCAGTACTTCCTTAAAAGTTACTCACATCACTTTTGAATATCTGTTGATTAACTTTAAACTGAGAGAAATTCATTTATTGTATTTTTGTAATCCTATTAGAGACAGCATCTTAAAAAAAAAAAAAAAAAGAAAAAGTTCACTCAACCATTTTTCCCCTATGGATAAACTTTCTAATCTTCTGAATAAATATCTAACACTTGAAAGTAGTTTTCTTGGCTTTTATCATAAATTGATTACTTTGATTTTGACCTGTACTAAACAATAATTCCGAATTTTTCTCTGCCTTTCAAGACACTATCAATCTTTGCTCCTTATTCATGAGAACAAATTTGGCTCCTCAACATTGAAGGTATGTACCTGTAGTCACTTCTAGAAGTGCTTTAACTAACAGGTATCTTGCACAAATCTGCCTACTGATTAAATTCTATTCAAAATAGTTGTAGAGAAGTGGTAATTCAAAATGCCTTCAAAAATTCACCAAATAAGTGATCTGCAAGTCATACCACGCTAGTGCAAATCAATTGTCAGTGTCCTATTCTGCTAAACTCTTTAAGAATACTCCAAAATTAAAATTCTCTGAGCCATAAATTTATGTTTAAGAGAGCTGGTATCCATCAGTAAGCGTTCCAAGAACAGATTGCTGGGTATCTAAAGACTGCTGCCAACCAGTACATTAACTGACTTGGTGCTGTGCCTCAAGACTGGAAACACTGTGTTCAGTGCTATCTAGGTTCATGTGGCTGGCCATTATGTTCAGAAAAATAACATTTCTTAGTTTGGATCAGTCTTTTCTGTCTGTTTTGCAGAGAACAGCTAACTACTGTGGGGGCATTTTGTCACAGATAAGAGGCATGATAGTTAAAGGAAATGGTTTACCTTGCTTTCACTCTGTTGTCATACAGATTTCTGCAGGCTGGAATGGAATCGACAGCTGTGTTCTTGTGTTCCTCTTTCTGAAAGGGGAAAGCATGTATGATATTTGCTTAGATCCTGAAAGTAACTGATAGTAACCAAAATATTTCAAGTTCAGGAAGGACTGCCCAAAAATACCTCAACATTGAATAACAGAGGTTGCAAGGGACTTCTGGAAGTCATGTAGTCCGACTGTTGCTCAAAGCAGATGCAGCTAGATCAGACTGCACTGGGTCTTGTCCAGCCCAGTTTTAAATACCTCCAAAGGCAGAAATAGTACATTGCCCCTAGGCTACCTGGTCAAATATTGGGCCATTTTCTTTGTATCTGATTGGAATTTCCCATATTGCAGCTGTTGGCCATTGCATCTCATCATTGACACCACATCTTCAAAAAAGTTTGGATCCATCATATAGGCTTCTATTACGTTTTTTAAGAAATGGGCCGATACAGGAAGGTATGCCAGTTTGGCACTTCAAAGAGACATCTTGCAATTAAACCAAATAGGAATACAGAAGATCCTGGATTATTTTGTTTTTATTTGTTTGTTTTTGTTTGCTTCTTTCCCATACTGATTCCAATGGTTCACAGAAATACCAGAATTTCTGCACAGCTGCCCCCAGGAAGAACACAGAGCAAAAGAAAATGTTTTGTAATTTTCTGTCTGGCCTTGTGCAAAATGAGAGTAAACTAATTAGAAGAGCGTAAGTGGCAGAAAGATGGCCAGCCTGCTCTGTAATTGGCCTGGAGAGGACTTCTCTAATATGGACACTGAAAGTCATAGAGTAGAACTGCCTGGGGAGAGATTCCAATCCAATATGCATATGCTGTCCCTGGGTATGGAATCAGGAGGAGGCTTCTAAGTTACTCACTGCTGTAGTCAGTAGGGCTGCCCAGTGGTGTTCTTTGATACAAAAGCTTTGAGATACACCAGAGGTTTCAATAAACCTTGTAGTAACTCAGCATTTCAAGGGACAAAAATGAGTTTACAGCCCCCATAGTACCTGTTCTGTGGTTTGTGAGAGTCAGAATACTGTAGGTCAGTATTGCAGAATAACACAATTCACTTTGTTTGCTTTCCCACAGGGATCTCCCACAGAGGCACTAACTCTTGTAATCTACATTGTTTCAAATATATATTTAAATGACAACAACAACCAGCAACAAAGAGAGAAATACATAATACCCCAATGTGGCTTACATTCTTCATGAACTGCAAAGGAGGAGAAGTGCTCACCTCCCTTGGCACTTCCTTTGGAGCTTACAGGGTGCAGGCAGAAAATACTACTGCATTAGTATCCCTTGTGGGATGAGATCTGATACTACTGGCTGGAGCTGAAGTGCTTCATTGCTGCACTAACAGAGAAAGAACAATTTGGGACAACTAAAAGGGGGAAACAAGACACTCTAACTGAGTGATCTCTTCAAAGAAACTGTCAGAAAGATACTGGACTGTGACTCCTATTTTTAGCCAGGAGTCATACTTAAAGTCTACTGTTAATCTGTCCTCTTGGTCAGTTAATACCAAACGTAATTAATGGTAGACATTATAAAAATAAACAAAACCAAAGAGCAAAACCCAAACTGAGTAATGATAGCCACAGTCATTTAGTGTGACAGATAAGCTTTGATCCTTCAATCTTAGTAATGGACCCTGTGGTACAGCTAAGTGTTTGATGGAAACAAATGGAATTAAAACACAACCAGTGTATTGTAAGAGCCTGCTGTAACTGGACTCCTAAAATCTTTTGCCAAAATGTCATTTGATCATCAAAACAGTCTACTCTATCCTTGTCTCAGCTGCTTGGAATATAAAATGCTGATATGCAGTTTGTAATACAGGTGATCTGAGAGGCAAGAATAACATAATATCACATACAATGCTGCATGTATCACGATGATGTGTGAAGTCTCCATTTTTAGCTGCAATTCTTCATTATGTCTGTTGAGGTTTTTTACTCTCTTCACAATTAACAAATTCCGGGAACAATGCACGGGAATCTTCATTCTATACATATTCAAAATATTTGCTTACATGCATGTAGTGCACATTTACATTTCTTCTCGAATTGTCTAATTTTACAAATCAGAACAATTCTGAAGACAAATTTGTTCCTTAATGATTTGTGTGAAACTTCTCTTTATTTGCTCTTTTTGTTTTAGTTTAAGAGAACATCCCTGAATATGCATCTTTTGGTCAGTAAATTAGCTACTACTGCTTCTGAATTTATCCATGAAGACAACTTATTTGTCAAGTGTTACTTTTGTCACAAATTGAGTTGAGATCCTGTCTCTGATTAAAGCTGTCTCTTGAGCACATTAGAATTGCTTCTCACATGTAGATCATAGAAAAATGGTATCTCATTCTGAATAGTGATTGTGAATTTGAGAGTCAACTAGGAGTTTAGATATTATGCAGTCAGTAATTAATGATTATTGTTTTGTGTCCTATCAGGTGGAAATCCTTGACTGGAAGACAAAGGAACAATTATGCTTCTTAGATAAGGTAAAATAAAAACCTGCTCAAAACATTAGGTGACTATTTACAAATTGCTAGCTCTTTTTAAAGCAAAGTTAATGTTTGTGAAAAGTATTTTGATAGCCCTTCTTTGGCATTAAGGAGACAATAACTGTTCATGCTTCATATGCTTCATACTCATACCTCTTGTGCAAAGAGCACAATTTCACTTGCTTCTCTAAGATGGTGCCAGTTGTCCCTTACTCATTTAGAAGCCATCAAACTGTCACTGCTGCTGTAGTAACACTGAGTACTGCCACAGTAGCTGCCTCTGAAACAGATGTCACAGATCAGGTCCTCCACTTTTCCTGTAAGAAGTGTTTTGAATCATTCATACCAATCCTAACAGCTGTCTTTAAAAATATGTATCTTATATACGTATATACATACATATATATAAATATGTTCTTTTTTGCCTAGGTGGAACCAAATGCTACAATTAGGGAGATAAGATCAATGTTCCATAAATTATGTGAGTATAACTTTTGCAACAGTTTGTATTGCATCAGAATATCCAGTATATAAATAAGAAAAAATTATATAAGGTGAAACGTGATGCAGACGCACATTAGAGGCTGGAACTAGATGATCTTTACAGCCTCTTCCAACACAGGCCATTCTGTGATTTTATGATAATGTGAGGTAATCTGCACATGAATGTGATCATAGTGAGATTTCAATACAATTTTTATATTAACCTGATACACCTTCCTAAATATCTTCAAATAAATCTGTGTTGTGTTTCATTCATTGTAACAGTGGATAATTTAAAAGAAACATTGTATATCACAAAATTCTTCATGGTTTTACAGATCCCCAGTGGTATCCAGCAAGACAGTCAATAAAACTTGATCCAAGTAAGTACCTGTGAAGACTAGAGTAATAAAGCTCTGAGCAGTGGCCTCACGTGAAAGGTGTACTTTGAATGGGCATTAGCTCTTAAAAATGAGTTTCAAGCTATGTTACTTAGTACTGTGAAGGCTGAAGAGGCTCCAAAACAAATTCAGTTCTTTCAAAGTATTGAAAAGAGTTCCATCCATCCACTTGGTAATTAACTCAGGAACCTGCATATTGCTCCAATGCATTTTATAACTACTGAGAACATTTGTTTTCAAGACACGTAGCACAGATTCTAGACAGTAATTTCCCTTAGCTTCAGTGAAACGATCCCCATAGTGACGCTGAACTGGGAGCACTAAGGAGTTGCAGATATTAATTCATATTATCCTCTCTGCTCTTAGCCAGGAATTGAAATTCCTTTGAAGTAAGTAAACACAAAACATATTGCCATGAATGTTCTGACAAATCTTGATGACAGGTGGTTGACTGGTTTAATGGAGTTGCAGGTATCACTGCTGGAAGCCTCATAGTACATGGCCTGGGTGCACAAAAGATAGTTTAATTGACAAATTACATTAAATCATCTTAGCATTTAGTATAAAATCTATCACTTTGTTCTTCTGCTTCTATTGAGCTTAATTTGATTTATATATTCCCTTTAAAGTTATGCTGGTGATGATTAGTTGATCATGTAGAATCTATCCATGGAAAACAGGTATATAAGTGCCTTATTTCCTTCTTAAAAGATCTACGTTTTCAGATTCCTCTAAATCCAGGTATTAAAAAACTTGCGCACCAGCTTAGTTCCTGTGGAATCATCTCTTGGCTGATTGTTTGGAAAACAAACAAACAAACAAAAAACTGGTAATAAAACCTCTGTAGGAGGGCCTTCCCTTTACAGCTTATCCCATCTGGGTGTCTGCTGATGAGCAATGAGAAGCGGGCAAGAGAGAGACGGAGGTGAAGCTGACCAAGTCAGTGAACTATACTAAAGGGCAGTTTCCCATCAGCAAATTCTGCTGTAGCAGTGATGAAGCAAGTCTACCAGACTAGGCAGACAGATAGGACTGGCAATTCTTCTGTCTTGGTGTGAATAGAGGACCTAGATTTACATGTGATCCCAGGGATAATTCAAAGCTAAGTGTAAACTTTCTTAATATTTTTTTAAACTTTGATTCCAATACACCTATGCCAGGTCAAAGAATCTTAGTCTTTTAAAAGCACAATATGAAGCTAGTTTGCTAGCGTAGTTGATTTGAATTTCACTGAGATGTAATTACCTCTTTCCTTCTCAGAAGGAAAGTCCCTGAGGAATGAGGAAATCCTGCAGCACCTCCCTGTTGGCACAACTGCTACTTTATACTTTAAAGATTTAGGGCCACAGATAGGATGGACTACGGTGAGCTATGCTTCAAATCTGAGCCAATTTAATGGCTGTTCTTCCATAATTAATCTTTACATCACTTTTTGTCTCACTCCAGTATTTCTGCATGATGCCTGCTCTGACAGTGGATGCAGGCAATGAACCCTCATTGCTTCAGTTCATTTTATCCAGGGAAAGCAGCAAGAAAACATTTTGAATGTCTAGTTCCCTAGAAGGGCAGCAGAGGAAAACTTGCTACTGGGTTAGTTTGGCCGTGCTGAAATAAGGTGCAGGTTCTCAAATGGATTTAGATGTCTGATCACTAGGAACTAAGTATCTAAATTCCTGTGCAACCCTCCTGACAGAGATAAAGATTATACTCCAAGGTTGTCCTGCAAAGAGGCATCTGAGAAACTTACCTGTCAGTAATGGAGCTGACTTCAGCAGGAAAATGCATGAAAGTAAAATTAGTTAGTTGTATATGGCTGTGTCCCAGGATGCTAATGCCAGGCTAATGACAGCTGATCATTTCTGTAATCCACGAAGATCTCATGTTTACTCTCTCAGCTCAAAGACAGGTCCCATCACAACTCACTCAGCAGGTGACACTGCATTCATGTTTATGCAATGAGGTGATCAATGACTTTTGAAGGTTCTTCAGAAAGTCCATAGTGCACGTATTAGCACTACTTCTAACAAAAGAGCACAGCACGAAGGGAAAAGGTACCCAGTAATTTAAAGACACATTTACTATTTCTTATCTATGAAAAATTAACAAAATACTGTGTCAGTGACAAATAGGTAGATTCACAGGAGGCAAAAAAAAACAAAAAAACCCCTACAAGTCTGAATCTTTAGATCAATTCTTTGGATGCTATGCTGATAAGTAAGGCAGCTGATGCACAAACCATGAGTCAGTAAGAATTGAAAACTAATGACAGTGTAGACTCCAAGACACATGTACTTGAATATACACCAAAATATCACACACCAGACTTCTTCCAATCCATTATTCTTCTTTTACCCTTTTCTCTCTCTCTCCTTCAACCTACTTCAGTCAGATGTAAGCCAAGAAATGCTTTGATAAAAATAAAATTAACAACGCATTTTTTGCCTTTTTAATACCTCTGCCACAGAAAATGCTGATTCTGTTACAGAAGTTGATACAAAAACAACTGTTCTTCCAGTAAAAATAACTAAACACATGAGAGAAGTGATGCATTTTGTGCTTTCCTTCAGTTTTCCTTTTTCTCTCTAAAAATGAGGTGAACTACCTTCCTCACTCAGAAAAGTTGAAAATTCAACTGTTAATACTTAGTCCAAATACTTAGTGACAATATAAAGTGATGCTCATGAGAAATACACTCCTATCTGGAATGAAATTAAGTTAGATAATAGCTTATTTAATTTCCTCTAGTTGTTACTTTATTCTTGGTGGTGTTTGTTTTATTTTTCCAAATGAAAGATTTTTTGAGCATAGAATGAATTGTTTTCTGGAATATCTGCTGTGCTAACTGTTCATACACATGGGGTCATCTGAACACTTGCAAATTGTGTTTCTAGTTTAAATGAAATTCATGAATTAGAAATAAAGCACATATCTTTCAAAATAAATTCTTCACCTAATTTCATTTTAACCCAAAATAAGTTTAAAAAAAAAAAAAAAAAAAAGTAGGTTTTGAGGGCAAGAGGAGGGTGAGAGCTGCATAAATGTAACCTGCATGCCCATTTATCACCATCTCTGGGCTACCATGATTACCTTTTCATATCCATGCTGTGTCAGCTGCACTGGCAATGGCTGTTTGTATGCAGTTGAGGCAAATGCATTGCAAAACATTTATGTGCATGTCTACTGATTTCACAGCTGCTATTCTCCCCATGCATCTCTAAATGCCATTTTGGGTCAGTGGAAGTATTTATCCCACTGCATCACTTATTACAAAGAAACCAAAGCAGAACCACCATCTAATTCAGCTGTCTAATTATTTTCTCTCTTTTTGCAGGTATTTTTGATAGAATATACAGGTCCATTGTTCATCTATTTTCTGTTTTATTTCCGCATGCCTTTTGTGTATGGACTGGATGAGAGGTTTACATCAAGCCCACATCCAGTAGTTAAGTAAGTCCGTTGCAGGCTTGAGCTGTATTTCTTGTTAGCATTGTAGTCTTATTCCAAATGTCTTGCCACACGTTTTTTTAAGCACTCTTAAATGCTTTTGTCTTGCTGTTTCTAGCTTGGCATGTATCTGCCATTCTTTCCACTACATCAAAAGGTTGATTGAAACAATATTTGTTCATCGGTTCTCCCATGGGACTATGCCACTGAGGAATATTGTGAAGGTAAATTGTGACAGAATCTATCCGTAGCCCCTTACAAATCCAACCTAGCCAACCTATTCTCTGCCTCTGCAGCACAGATTTTTTTGGATGTGGCTTTTTTAGTAACGTGCAACAAATCCTACCCATGAATCTGTAGTTCCTTCAGAAGATTTCTTAATGCCACTTTGTATAACCCACATGTTGCTGTACAGTTATTCACATTATAGTTTTCTCATTGCTCTTTTCTAATTTGAAACTTTCAGCAATCCTTTTGTTGTACTCAGCTAGCTCTCTGGGTGTGAAGACTTTAGTAACAAAGTTGACATTTAAGGTGGTACAGATAGGTACAACGCTGAGAAGTTTGTTGCTTTAAAACCATTTTTAAAAGTCATAATACTTCTTCCCACCTAATACTACCTTTGTCGATAAGCAACTATTAATTTACCTTTTGTTGTTCCACTGCAAAGTAGCCTGGTTGTCCTGCGTTTTCTTCTCACTCAGGAGCACCCCCTGATGTTGTCAGTGCTGCTGTGGCATAAGGCAGCCATCAAGACACAGATCCCCTATTTCTTAGTATTCTACAGAGCTGCACGCTTATGCATGGGCTGTGGTTTTTCAAAAATGTTAGCAACAGAGTATGAACTGCTATTCAAACGTACTCTTTATACTCAGGAGAACAAAAGCGCATACTATAGCATCACCATTTCAGTAGTTAGTATTTTGTATTCAGACAATCCCTTGGACTCTGAATTATGGCAGTGATACTCCAGGCTGTTTAAACTTTACATCATGGCTAACTTAGAGCTTTGCAGTGGCTCTGGTAATTCTGGCAATAACTTCATGCTTTCTACATGGAATGAGAAAGTTGAGCCAGTGGATCCCAGAAAGAATCCTCTTCAGACCAAACAAAATGTCGTTTGTATCCAGTCATTCTGATCACATTTACTTTTCCTCCTTTTCAGGTTGGTGGTACTTTCTTTCATCTGTAAAGTTGCTCACAGTTCTTCTCCCTGCTTAACATTGCCTGGATTTGATTTACTTCTATAATTTCCTTGACTTTGATGGTATTACTTCAGAATTCCATCAGTCAAAAAAAAAAAAAAAAATCACATCCTCTTCCCTTCTTTCTCTCGCACACAGATGGTAGCCAAAGCTTCTTACTTTAAGTGTATAATCACCCACAAAGCAAATGCTTATTTCCAAAGCAAAACAGAATGCTATGTTTAAAAGGAGACACTTCAGTTTCAATAAGCAGAGACCTGAGACAAGAATTGATATGATTTGTGATTTTCATCCTTTGTTTGTCAAATGAAATGAATGATGCAGTAAAATGCAGCAAGGGCTCACCACACAAGCGGTTCATGCTACACTTCCACAGTATAATTCTAAGATGACTTTCTAGGCAATGTCAAGATAGAATACCTGCCTTACTTGCATTTAGCAAATGTCTCAGTAAAATAGGGAATAATACAAAAAATGTGTGGTGATAAAGGAACTAACTAAAGGGAAGATGATAGTGGTTGTGCCAGAAGAGGTTCAGTCAGACCTTCAATAGTAGTTGAGCAGTGGAATTCCTCAAAGGTTAAAAAAGGGTAAAAAGACTATTATTGCTTCCTTTGATCATATCTGGAGGAAAGAATATGCTAGAGCTAAAGAAATTCCATTTAAACCAGGAGACAATATAAAGAGACAAACAAAAGGGTACACACTGGCTATGAGTAAACATAGGCAAGATAATAAGAAATAGTTTTGATCACTATAGGAATAATGATAAATTGGAGGAGAAAAAACAGAATTCCTAACTGGAAGTTTTAAAACTTAAGAATAGTTTATTTATGGGATCTTAGCAATATCTGGACCTGATGGTTTTTTATTTACCTGGAATAAAAAAGATGCACAGAAAAAATTCCCTTCTTTCTAATCAATTGATTAAGTCTGCACGTACCATGCTGTTCCTATCTGAATCTCACTGGAGACTTTTGTATGAGCAGTAAGGCTTCTAGTGACATCTTACCACATGCAGTGTTAGTGCTAAGGGTGGCAGATTCCACTCATCTTTAAAGCTCTTTTTGTTATAATTGAGATATAACTTTTAATTCTTGTGGTAAATCGTGTTCTTTGGATGACTAGTATTTGTTCAGTTTAATTACAGCATGTATTTCTGGGAGTTGAGCCATGATCACTCACTTAATTATACTTTACAAAAAATCCATTGCCATATGACCCATCTTGTGCCAAGCCCGAAGTTATAGGGAGATTTTTCATAAATTGCCATTCCAAGATTACAGGAAAGTGCTTTCACCTAACTTTGTACAGCAGCTAATACACTGAGGATGATGTCACATGAAATTAGCATTAGGACGGAAGCAGTAATTTATGGATAGGACACTGACTAGACTGATCCTCACTGGAGTCTGTTCTCCAGCTCCACTCCTTTTCCTGGATAAAAAAAAAGAGGAGGTAATGGCAGGGAAGCTACTTAGTCTCTCCCTTCTTGTCCCACCTGATCTGTAATCATTAGTTAATAGTTTGCTCTTTCTCATTAGTTATTTATTAATACATAATCCCAGATCAAGAAGTAATTAGTTTGTAATTTGTAACTACAAATCCTAAGGGGTCTCCATTTTGTCTGAGGTCACTGGTCACTTCAGTGGTTCACTTAATTTTGGAAAGAAACTGGTTTGTAACAGAATGTCTGATGGGGATAGGGAGCGGGGTTGCCCATCACTAGCATTTTCAGAAAAACACACTGTCACTTTGCACTCAGTGTGGGTTGCAGACGCTGAGGTGACCACTTTTGGGGGTATTATTCCTAGAAATGCAGTTCTACTATTTACAAGATCGATAGACTGCAAAATTCAAAGCCAAAAAAAAAAGAGTTTAAACGGTCAGGACATGAAAGACTGCAGCCTTGGTAAGAATTTGTCTATGTGAGCAGGAATGGAAAGCTGTGAAGGAAAAAGAAGATCTAGAAATGTCTAAGGTATGTGAACCTATTGAAAGGCTAAGGAAAAAGCATCAGCAGAGCGAGGGGATCATAGTTCTACTCATGAGAGAAGAATATAAACTGGGGAAGAAAAATAAAGGGCCCAATTTTGCTTTCATAGATGTCTAGGTAATAATCAAACACACCTAAAGCATGAAAAATGGAGAAATGGGTTTGATAAAGGAAAACAAATCTCAACCAACAGGAGGCAAATTTATGAGTTGTCAAGAACGGCACCTTTAGTTGAAAGCATAGAGAAAAAGGAGGAATAGGACAAGAAAGGCCTTTCCTCCTACCAACAAATATAGGAAGAAGAAAAAGATAATCTGTCATGAAGATACTAGAGAAAGAGTGAGTATCATAAGAAGAGCCACAGGAGGAAGACTAGGAAAACTAAACAACAGGTAGAGAAGGCAGTTTTCAATAAGGGTTTTTGGTTTTTTTTTTTAATGGATAAAGCTGCTGAATAAGCTCTGGAATTGGTCAGGAACGAATCAATGAAGTGAGAGCTCTATGGAAGCTGGATCACAGAAAGCCAAGAACAGCACCAAAAGGAACAAAGTAAAGATACCACAGTAAAAGGGGCAGAAGGAAAAGTCACGCGTGATGATTTAAGGAAAGAAAAGTTAAAACACTGAAGGAGAAAAGCCTCGATGGGACAAAGGAGAAGAAAAATGTCAAGGAATTGGACAATACAAAGAAATAAGCAGGGAAGAGAGCACATTGCCAAAATAAGGTTTTATGAGTCTCAAGGGTTAACAAAACAAGTCTCCCTTTAACATAAAGTCTACATGGCACACCATCTTTGGATGGCTTGTGAGACAAAGAAATCTGTTTCCAAAAGTAGATTAATACTTTCTAAAATCATTTATAAACTTAACAGCTCCAAGAATATTTGAGGAAATCTTACCCTATGAGCTCATTTCCTGTTTGCTCCTGCCTTACCACACCCAGTATCATCACTTCTTGTTGTATTATCAGCAACTTGGAGGATCAGCCCAATTGATAATATTATCTGTGGTCCTCACAGTGAATTCTTTCCAAGATGATACTAAAACAAAGAAAAATTACCTGTTTTTCAGAACTGTTTATATTACTGGGGATTTGCAGCTTGGCTTGCTTATTACATCAATCATCCTCTTTACACTCCTCCTTGTAAGTAGCATTACAGCTCTCAGTATGATTTAAGTCCTTCACTGGTTGTATTTTATAGCTAATCACATGTAAACATTTTGTTTTATAGCTTATGGGAAAAAACAGATTAATTTTGCTGTGATCATGTTTCTGGTAGGTCTATTGCTCTTTTTATAAAATTCTAAAACTTGCTGGTTTATTTATTATGTTGCATAAGTGGAAGAATGGGTAGGATAAGCAGATACTTTAAGCTAGAATACTTGGGACAAACTATAGCTGCCCACCTGCATGTAGAGTAGACGCATCTGTCACATTTTTAATATGATCTTGTACACAAAGGAAGATTCTGATTAAGTATCTATTCTAAGACTAGAATGGGTTATTGATCTGTTGGGATATCTCCAGTCACTAAAAGAATCCTGGCATGATCAGTCTGTGACAGTGTTTAAAGCCACTGAGTTTGTCTTGTGAAATATTTATTGAGTGTTAAGAATCAGAACAGGTCATAAAATTTAGAAAACTGGCCAACTAAAGCAGTACATTGCTTACTTCTAAGGGAAGATGTTCCTTTAGATGCAACCACTTGCAGCAGATGGAGCAAGGGGAAGTAGGTGTTGCAGGGGCATTTTAAGCCTTGTAAGGATTTTTTTATGAAACAAAGTTCTTAAGACACTGTCTGATCATCCTCACAGTTCCTAGGAACATTTCCACAGTTGCATAGTGTAGCCAACAAAGATGTACCCATTTTTCCCACTTATGCCTAATTCATTTAAAACATCAGCTGTTCACCTGCTTTGAGAAACCAATGCTCAGTTACCAGAGGCTCTCAAAGCATCTTCCCAGTATGAAATTTCTGTGAGGTAGTAAACTAGTCCCATTTTATAAAGAGACTACACGAATATATACAGTTTGCAATAGCACTCAGGTCTGACCACCAGCTGTTAGTTTTAATAGATATGCAGTGCAGATACTGAAGATACGATGCATAATTACGTAAATGGGTTATTCCAATACCCTTTCCACATAGTTGATTGGGGAAGCATTATTTAAAACCAGTGGAGAAAGCTGGGTCAATTACATTTCATGATTCAGATTGATTATACTCCAGAGAAGAAAACTTCCTTTGAGTCCAATCCTTGGGATTTTGATGACTTCTGAGAAACCAAAACTATCCAAATGAAGTTTTCTGGTGTTTTTAAAGAGACTAGCCAAAAGACAAAGCAAGTAGTTCCTGGATTTGCTTTTATTTGGTTTATTGCCTTTAGATCTCATAGAGACTGCATGAGAAGTAAATTATCTTTTGGATAGTGAGTCTACATTTGTTGGTAAATCTCATGTGTAACATAGCATAGTATCCTGGCAATTTGCAACACATTAACTCCCATTTTTCATCGTGTTTGCAACAGACTAACTTATTTTATGTTGTTTTTAAGTTCCCCTGGAAATAACAAAAGAAAGAGGAGTGTGTAGAAGAGAAGAATGTTTTTAACTGTCATACCTTTTCTTGCAGCTATGTGAAGCTGGAAATTTTTCCATTCATGTTGCACTTAGCGACCTCCGGAGAGATGGTAAAAATTGCATACTTTTTTCCTTCTGTGCAGCTGTTCAGTACTTGCACAATTATTCTGCCTTACGAAAGAACTGACTGATCCCGTAGGGTGCTGATACCTACTCTTCTGATTGTGCTGGAAAATCAGGATGTTCTGCACTATAAAGATTGGATACTAAGGGAGATCAGACAGTGCAAGAAATCCAAAAAGAGACTGCCAAAAAAACACTTATCTCACTGTAATTTTTCTTGGTTACAGCCAGATTATGCTGAGGTGACCAGCTGTATTATTTACACTGGTAGTGCAGAGGGAAATTGTAATGGTGGTATAAGTTATGCTTCAGTGTGCAAGGGGAAAGTTACTTAACTGACTTCTACAGAGGAGCAAAAGATCTTTATGCAGTCTAAAGCTCCTTGCTCACTAACTGAACAATGGATAACAACTGCGACTACTAAAATCCAATCCTCTGACAACTGGAGAACACCTTTAACTTCTAACATAAAACATACTTGAGGCAATTTTATGGGTGTGACTGCAACCCAAAGGATTATGTAAATGTCTTTCTAATGCCCAGAGCATTTCCTCACAGTTAACCCTGTTCCTTCATGGGGGTCCAGAGAACATCTTGTTTTCGCCATCCTGCTTGTCCCTCTGACAGTGATAAGACAGAAGAGTAGGCAGGTTTGGCTTGTCTTTGTTGCAGATGATATGCCCAGGAGTGTAAACATTTTGTGATTTGTTTTCTAATCTATAGGGTCCAAAACTCGTAAGATCCCGTATCCAACAAAGAATCCTTTCACATGGCTGTTTTTCTTTGTATCTTGCCCTAACTATACCTATGAGGTACGTATTTTGAAACAAAATGCTAGTATTTTAACTTTCCTGGATATGTCTTCATTTCTTTTGGAATGTTAAACTCTGAAACAGTTCAGCCTGAGCTTTAGTGTAGCCACTAGACAAGATGCAGATGTACTTTGAAGCAGTGAAAATGTTGCAGAGAGGAATAGGGGAACTGACACTGAGGATAAGTTGCAGAAAAGAGATTGGGGCATCTTGTGGATTTAAAATATATGTGGCCCCAGGAATATCGCAGTGTACAAGAAAATAGTGCACAGTTAAATAGAAGATACCCCTGCTTCTCCTTTTTGCTCTACCACAGTATGAGACAATACCTGCCAGGTCTTACTCTTCATTTTCTTTGGTTATACAGTTGACTAGACAAAATTACTGTTTCTAGCATTGATGGATGAATGACAAATGCGAATTAGGTAGGGAAAATGAAAGGAAGCTATGTTGTAATGCTTACACAATTGTCATATTAACTATGAATGCAAACATAAAGCATTTGTTTGTGATAACAAAGCATTGTTCACATTTTGGTTAAAAGCTACTAACAATAGAAATTGATATGGCTGACCTTGGCTTTTTTATTTACCTATACTAGGACAAGGTTGTATTTGATCAATAGAGACATAAATGCAAATGCTGTCATCAGAAATATTTTAAATTTCCTTGGCCAAAACAGGTGGGGACATGGATCAGTTTCACTATCATGACTCAATGTGTTCCAGGTGAGCAATGTTTTGGTACTTCTTCCTGAAGTGTTGTCAGCAGTGAGAGTTTGTACCTTCTCTGACAATTAAGTGTTTTGTTGTTTTGTTTTTTTTTCTTTCTTTTCTTTTCCTCTTCCTCCTAGTGGGGCTGTTCACCTTGCTTTGCTTCATTCAGATGACAATCTGGGCAAAGGATAAACACTATACCTACCTACGAGAATTCAAGGATTATCCAAGTGTTCGAATGCCAATTATTCCTTTTTTATTGTAAGAAAAGTTTGGTTTCAATACTGCATGGAACTTCAAGAAGAAAAAGCTCATGGATTTTTCTTATTCATAAATCTCCTGCCAAATAATTGAATTAATTGAAGTGATTCTGGTGTATGCTAACTCTCCACTGCTGAGGGAAACAATACACTTGAAAACTATACTTCCTTATATTCAAGAATTCTTCAATTCAGAAGCACCTTCAAAAAATAAGGCTTCATTGCAGAGCTGGTAGCCAAAAGCCCGTATAGCTCCACTGCAACCTGACTGTCTGAGATTTCCATGCACTAGTCTATTTAGATTGATACATCAGAGATACTGATAAGCTTGTTCTGAAAAGCAGCTCCAAATTTAGCAGTGGCATTCTGTAAGACTGTGACATAAATACATTGGAATGAGGACACAGCAGCCAACTACAAGAAAGCTCAACTCATACAGTATGGCCAGCTGGCCTGAAGACAGTTGCATGTTTTGCCTTCTTTGACTTGAAAAAGAGAGTGTTCTGCCTGGAGGCAGGTACTTTGTGACAAACAACATTACCAAAGAAAATGAATGGCTCTTGGAATAATGAATAGGGCAGTCTCTCAAATACCTGCTTTGGGTCTAAGCTATAATTTGCCAATTGGATCTAAAGAAAGAAGAATTTGTGGATTTAACATCCATCCTGTGAATATATAGGGGTGTTTATCCTGTTTTGTTTTTAATATTTTTAATTAGTAAATTGCATACTGACAAATAAGGTTCACAGTATCTGATCTATGCCGTATCCATGATATTTGGCCTGTTTCATATAATAAGTCCTTAACATATTCTAAAAGATCCTAGAGGACATTTAACCTTGTATTTTTTGTCAGAATTCTCTGAATAATTTCAGTGTACTTTGTGAATACATAAAGTACTGCTAACATTCAGAATGGTAGTTCCCTTCCTATTTTCAGAGCCAGGGAAAAAAATCCAGACATTCTGAACTTCCTGTGTTTTCTTTTTCACAAGATGTTCAGTGGGATTTAGTCGGGTTTTGTGCAAATCTAGTAAAAAAAATATAAAATTATGACTGCAATATATCTGAATGATATTTTGAAGAAACTGTTTCAGAATATGAAGAAAATGTGTAGATACTGTTTTGTTTCATGATTAATTTATTTATTATAATGGATGTATAGAAAGATTTTGCAACTGTTTGTAAGGGTGAAATCTACAATAAATTCTAGACTATGTTTTGAATTCAATTGAAATAACTATGGCAAAAGAGGAAGATTACAGCTGGTTGCCACAATTTCATAATTATTTGTAAAGTACAAAGGAAGAATGTCCTTGCATCAAGTAAGACCTATATAAATTGAACAAAAAACTAAAAAAGCAAAATACATGACCCACCTTTTATTTCTGTATAGCACGTGTTGGAGTTCTTCTTTTTAAAAAATGAAATAATTTCTTAGATAAGTGAAACAATACGTAATTGTGAATCTGCTTGCAATACTGTTATTTTATATTAGTTCAATGGTGAACCAGAGAAAAGAGCTAAATGGCAAATGATTTCCCATCATGGAGTACAAGCAGGCTGAAACTTTCTGAGCACAGAGAAATCATAATCTATTCACACTTCACACCCACTTGAGGTCCAGGTCAAAGGAAAGAAGAAAAGTTTGGTCTTGTTTGGCTGGTTTAGATGTACTATTTTGTTTAAATCCCACTTTGATACTCTGCTTCCTTTTCTGAACTTGAAGATCAGTGAGTATTAGGTCATTTTCATTAAGCAAACTTCTTGCCTTGATCTGAGATGGGAATGAATTCTTCCCATTCTTGTTGAGACAAGTTTGTTTCCAATGGCAAGAATGAAAAATAAGAGTTAACCGAGAAAATCCTACTGGCTGGAAAGGACTTGCTCTTTTTAATTCTCTTTACATGTCAACGAGGAGGAATGAAGCTTCTATTCTTTTATACTTTACATTAGAGAAAGATTTTTTTTCCTGGAACAAGTACCTGGTTTTCTTTAGATGCTTTCAGATTCTCTTTAGATGCTTTCAGCATGTGTTGTATGTAATATTCCTGGTAGAGCAGCAGAAGTTTGCCATTGCTAGGGACTTATAAGCACACTTCTCAGAAAGTTACAGAAAGTCAGAATAATACTGGGCATGGAAGCCTTTCTTTTACCTTTTCACTCCTCTGGTATGGCACACTAAATGCTAGTGACTGCTGGAATAGTCTATGCAACTGCCTGCTGCTGTGAAGCAGGAGACACCTTTGTTTCTCGGTTCGATCCAGCCGCACGAGGATGCAAAGGAATTTCCTCATCCTCCACCTGCTGCTTAGCAAAGTTCACAAAAACCTACGTGAAGAAAGAAGACAACATCATCAACTGAGATTATCTAGTAGAATGTCTCTACACATTTGTATCTTCTTGGCCTCTGCAGGGAAGAGAAGGAAAGGAGAATCCAAAAATATGTACTCAGAACTGAAACACAGGGCATCAGCAGGGACTATTCATTCCTCCTTTATTTTGATAAATTTCCTTGCAACTTCCTTTCTTTGGATGCAGTGACTTGCAACTAAGATCCTATTTTGTCTTCAGTGGGAGATGGTTTACATGGCCTTGTGCAATATAATTGAGCTTGGTGGTGATGAGGAAGAGGGGATAGTAGTTCAGTAGGAAGCTGTAAGGCAGCCAAAATGTCTCTCTAGCACCCTCACCAATGCTAGCTTCATCTATGTGAATCATTAGCTACTCAGGAAAGCAGGCAATGCGGTGAATATCCTTCAGAGATTGACTGGGTATTGCCAAGAGTCCCAGTTTTTTTTCAGGCTCTATGTATCTAATTGCTTTTGCATAATAATTGCAACGGAGAGAAAAAAGCGTTTACCTAGATACCACCATATCTCTATCAGCATCTCAGACAACACAACCCAAATCTCTTATACAAAATAAAATTGAAAGAAATATTAGATCATTTCCAGCTGAGGAAGCTTTAGCCTCTGCTCCTGACAGAGTAGATTTGTGTGAACTCTGGCACCTGCGAAATGCTGGCACAGCAGCTTTCAGTCAGCAACTAATTCATGAAGGGAATTATTTACAGATTTCTTATCTGATCCACCCTCCTTGATGAGGGGCCTGGGAATTTTGTCTGAGAAAGAGGTTCAAGACCATTCTCTACTGTAAGCAGTTTGATCCTTCAGTTGTTTACACTGTCATTGCATTGCCCAATAGAGTTTCTCATGGATGATTTATTTTTTACTCACCTGATCTAATGTTGTTTGAGAGACAGAATATTCTTCAATATACAAGTTTTCCTTATTGGAGATTATTAACCGAAAAATCTTAGCCAGAGAAGAGGAGCAAATTTGATACTGCAGCATGTTGTAGTGTTTCTCTCTCTGTAAACTCCCTGGAAAGTTTATGCGTATGAACTGTTCAGCACGACTTGGATCTGGAGGCAGCCCAGTCTTAGGAGCCTTGATTTTCAGTGTGACAATGTAGCCATCTCCAAACCTGTGAAACATGTACAGATTTGGAAATTGGACGAAGAGATAATTTCACAACAGCTCTTCAGATTGGTTTGCTCTATTAAGAATGGTTCATGCCACACATATTAGGTTTACCCATTAAAAACACTATAATATATTCAACTTACTTGTATTTTAGCTGCTGAATTGTGCCCAGACACTTGAAGGTACCTTTTACCATGATGGCCAGACGAGTACAGAGAGCTTCACATTCTTCCATACTTTCAAAACAGAGAATGGATATTTGAGATAGAACCAGCAGACAAATGTCAGCTGCTCTGGGATTTGAATTCCAAGTCTATACCTGTGTGAAGTTAGAACTACAGCTCGTCCATCTCTGAGCACGCTGACAATAGAATCCCACAGGAGGCGCCGGGACTGAGGGTCCATTCCAGTAGTTGGTTCATCCTGCAATGTGAATGTTAAGACAGCCAGATTCAGAGTAGCAGAAGAAAAAAAAAAGAAAACATTTAGAAAGGAAATCATTAGAATTAATCTTGCACATTTGGGTTCTAGCTTATCACTGCTTCCCAACTGGAATCTGTGCCTTGGGAACGCATAAGCACACCCTGACAAGTGTATAAGTGAATTGGTAGTAATGCACTTCTTGGCACAAAGCAGTAAGGAACCAAACACAAGCAATCTGTCAGGTAAGAATACAGTGCTATCTGTATAGGGCCCAACAGAGGCCTATTCCTTTCCTAACAGGGAAAGAATTGCACTGACCATTATAACAAAGGCAGACCAAAGTCCAAGGTCTTAGCTATCAAAAATGTAAGCCTTTATCAAATGTAACCCTGTTACCAAAAGATTCAAAACCTAAAATAAAAATAAATGGAATTCTGATGAATTTTTGTAGCAATTGCATTTACAATTACCTTTGAGAAATGCAATTATCATAATTCGTATTACTTGATGAGAACTACATTTTACCTTTTGTATAGTTTATTCTAAATTTGTGTAGTTCATTTCAAAGATAATAAAGGTTGTGAAAAGGTAGCTATCTTCCTCTGTTCTGCTGGAAAAAGCAGCAAGGTGTATGTAGTAAGATCACAGAAGCATAGAATGCCTTGTGTTGGAAGGACTCTTAAAGACCATCTGGTTCCAACACTTCTGCCACACCAGACAAAGCTGCCCAGAGCCCCATTCTATCTAACACCTCCAGGGATGGGGCATCCAGAACTTCTCTGAGTAACGTGTACCAGTGCCTCAACACCCCCTGAGTAAAAGATTTCTTCCTAACAACTAAACTAATTCTCCCCTCTTTTACTTTAAAACCATTCCCCTAGTCCTGTCACTATCCAACCTTGCAAAAATTCGTTCTCCCTCCTGTTTAAGCTCATTTAAGCAGTGAAAGGTCACAATGAGGTCTCCCCAAAGCCTTCTCTTCTCCAGGCTGAACGAGTCATCATTTACATGACTGGGTACACTTTGACAAGAAAAGACAGGCTGAAACCAATCATGGATTTAAACTCAGATTTTTCTGAATTACATATTTTAATACCAAACCTTTCCTTACTGAAAATCTCTCTTATAAAAATTAGGTTCCATCCGAAACACACTTACTCATTCTAGTCTACTCCTAATATTTAAGAACTGAAGACTACACTGAAGTAGACATACATAGAGGCAGAAAGGAGCTTGCAAGAACTATCATAAACATCCCTGTAGCTCTCCAGCATGTAGTTTTATGAGATTTCATACTTTCATCACAGAGTTCTATTACTGTGACACTTACAAGCAAGATGAGTGGAGGGCAGCCTATCAGTGCAATGGCAGTGGAGAGCTTGCGCTTGTTGCCACCACTGTAGGTACCAGCCAGCTGGTCAGCGTACATAGGAAGTCCCAGCTTCTGGATTCCCCATTCAGCGACCTATGAGAAATACCATCTTTTTCACACAGAGCTAACCCACAGCAGCCTGGATTATTGATACATCCCTCTTCTGGCAGAAAATGGGCAAACCTTTGGATTTTTTTTTTTTTTTTTTTTTTTTTAGAACTGGAGCTGTGGTCCAAAAAACTATGATGATGAGGGGAATTCTAATCTCTTGAAGTAAAGCCATACTCCAGCATCAGCTGTAGAATAGTCATCTGTGCAAGAACGTACATTATTTTTCATCTGGAACCTTCTCTATGTTTTCTTTCTCATACATGAATAACTTCAAAGATGAGAACAAAACAGTAACTGTATCAGTTTTGAGTCATAGCAGTTGCATCCTTAGCCTTCCAGAATTGGCTCTGCAGTTTTCCATAGAATCGTAGAATGGCCTGGGTTGAAAAATACCCATACTTCATGTATGTATGATCATGTAGTTTCAACCCCCTTACTATGTGCAGGGTCGCCAACCACCAGACCAGGCTGCCCAGAGCCACGTCCAGCCTGGCCTTGAATGCCTCCAGTGATGGGGCATCCACAACCTCTCTGAGCAACCTGTTCCACTGCATCACCACCCTCTGTGTGAAAAACTTCCTCCTAATATCTAACCTAAATCTCCCATCTTAGTTTAAAACCATTCCCCCTTGTGCTATCACTATCAACCCATGTAAACAGTTGTTCCTTCTTCTGTTTATATGCTCCCTTTAAGTACTGGAAGGATACAGTGAGGTCTCCCTGGAGGCTTTTCCAAGCTAAACAAGCCTAGTTCCCTCAGCCTTTCTTCACAGGAGAGATGGTCCAGCCCCCTGATCATCATAGTGGCCCTCCTCTGGACCCCTTTCAAGAGCTCTGCATCTTTCTGGCCTGGACACAGTACTCCAGATGGGGAGTATTTCAAGTATTATTAATCATCTAAGATCCTGGATTTGGTAGTGCATTCTTGTACTAAATTCCAAATGACAAGAACCACTCTCAAGACTTCAACATAAAGAAAGGCAAGCTCAATTTGGAAAATTTGGCCTTTGACATGAGGTGAACTCACCAGAATCATCACAGACATTCACTGTAACCATGTACAGATCAGAAGCAAGAAGGTTTTACCCTCTTGATTTCCTCTGCTGGAACACCCCGCAAGCGAGCATATAAATAGAGATGTTCTCGTCCTGTGAGCAGGTCATCAAGGGCATCAAACTGAGGGCAGTATCCCATGTTTTGATGAACATTAGAGATATGAGTCAATACACTGGAGAAATAAATAAAATAATATTGTATCTATAATACTAGCTTTAAGACAGTTTAAATAAAATCTCTGTTTTCTGGGACAAAACACTTCTAAGGGAAATTAATTCTCCCCAGAAGATCCTACTAAAAGATGTCTGTACAGTATAGCAAGGAATATATTCTCTTCTAAGTCTAATAAGTCTTGGTTAAGAGTACAAACTCACTGTTTAAGTATAAACCAATGTAAAGAGAAGTTCTCAATAGATATTTCTTTTTTTTTTTTTTTTTTTTTTTTTTGGAAACGTAGAGGGTTTTTTTGAGATTTGAAAATCAGAAATTTTCATCATGAAGTGTAGTCACCATGAGAAGTCATGTAAGACACACAGCTAGCAATGTTCACTGGTAGCAGTCGTAGGACAAGATAAGAGAAGAACAGAATCACAGAATAGCTGAGATTGGTGGGAACTTCTGGAGATCACCTTGTCCTCTCAGCCTGCTCAAGCAGGGTAAAATGCAGCAAGTTGCCCAGAACCATGTCCTGGCAACAAAATAGCTATGCGTTCCAATCACAATGGATAGTCAAACTCTAGTGACACCTAAGAAACCAAGACATACAGCCTAGAAATAAACTGACATAAATAAATATCAAATCTCGAAGTAGTGATTACTTATGGCATTATGCCAGCATTGTATAAACAAAGCAGTTAAAAGCAGCAAGAAGCAGCCAGATAAAATTCCCAAAGCTCAGATAAAATACTCTGTTGGATAGGCTATCTTCTATTTGAGAGCCCCTGCTGGTTAGATTTGATTACCTTTTCCTGTTTCTAGCATTCTTACAGCTCATCCACAGATTTCACAACACAGTGCTGAAGGTGTGAAGTGCTGGTGTGGTCTCTTTCAGTGTCATGTAACAGGAAAGGAGCTGCTGAGTCATTCAGACTATGAGTTAACCCTGGTAAGTAGATTGTCACAGGGCTTTTTGTTTTGTTTATTAGTGTTTTGCTTTGTTCGTTTGTTTAAGGTACTCACCTACTGCCGGCAACAACAGCATCTCCAGATGTCACTTCAGTGTCTCCTGTCAGCATTTTGAATGTTGTTGTTTTGCCAGCACCATTCACTCCCAAAAGACCAAAGCACTGAATTTTTTAAAAAAATTAATTCCCATTATTTAGTGTTTCCAATTTATAAATCAACAGGAGCATGCAATTAGAACTGTTCCCTGAATGATTCATGTAGTGATAATGACCAACTTACCTCTCCAGGACGGATGCCAACACAGAGTCTGTCCACTGCTGGCTTATGCTTACCTGCATAAATCTAAATTGACAAAAACAATCAAGATTTTTGAAGCAAAGACAATTTTCTGAATTTTTTAGTTCAGTGTTATTGGGTTGAGGCAACTATGGAGCCAGTACAAAAGTAAAAGAGCAACTAATAAAATTTTAAGAAGAGCAAGCATGAACAAGGTCAGGCATTCATTTAAATAAATTTACAATAATCCCTAAAAATACAACTTTTCCTTTCTTGAGCCTTTTTACTTCATAACTTTAGCACTAGGAGACAGACCTTATGCTTTGCTGGTAAAAAGTATCTCCAACTTCATACAATACAACACAACAGTTTGAAGAATGACACTTCAGTTCTTTATTCATGAGATCCCAACAACGTGGGCAATCTTTGTACTTCTGTAGCTCAGGCTTACATGTATTCTGATAGCATCGATTACCTACCTTCAATGTCTGGAAAGAAGATAAATTACTGATTACACTAGTCCCCAGTATGAAAGCAACTAAATGGTTAACCTGAGATTGAAAATCACCGAAGGAGAAAAAGCACTGCGGAAAAGACGACTAACAGTAGAAATGCACATTCTGTAAATATGTCAGGATGGACGATATGAGGTAAAATAACTTAAGCAAGAGAGTTCACTGTCCTTGCTGGACCTTCCTGAGGTTTGATCTCTGTTGAAAGGAAATAGTCAAATGACATATCAAGCCCTGACTTCTAAAACTTTTCTTATTTTCCAGGACACAAGGTTAATTTCGGAAACAATACCATCCAAATCCACAGCTGAAACACATTCTGAACAAGTCAACTTACACTGGATTCACTTATTTCATTCTTCTCAAAATAGTACCTTGGTCAATTCCTGTAATTCTAAGATATTTGTTTTGTTCCCCCCATTCAGAATTCTTTTTCTTTCTTCTGCAACATCCTCATCTTCACCAACAATAGGCGACTTGTCAATCTCGACAAACCTGGAAAAGTAAGAATCGATTATGAAGAAACAATGAGTTGATCTGAGTATAGCTACGATAGCAGTGTGAAACAAGAGCTAGTCAGTTGGCAAAATTCCGTCTGGTGAGAGCAGTGAGATTGAAATGTCATATTGTAACATTCACTGGAGAATTCCTGCTGCTGGGGCAATGCCTGGCCTTTGAAAGTTAAGCCCTTAATACTAAAAAGGGATGGAATTGCTTGTTCAAATGAGAATAGCATTGCCAGTCACTGATATGACATAACCTGCCTCTAAGCCATCGCTTTTTCTATTTGACAGCTCTTCAGTACTAACTAATAGATTTTACATGTATCTTTTGAGTAGACTTCCTTGTAAGACAGTATTTTCAGAATTATAACTAGTACTCCTATTGGGAATCCCCAACAGCAGTGAATAATCAACACATACTTGGCAGGCAGCTATTTTCATTCAAACAGAAGCAGCTTTGTAAAGCAGATAGGGGAAGCTTGAATAGTACCCTGACTGTGACTGTTCTTGCAATAGGCTAGAATTCCAGTCTTGGTATGTCAGGCTAGTAATGCCAGTGATTAGGAAACTACAAGCTTTCCAAGTAATTGTGTAATCTCACCATTAGAATCATGAAATTCACACTGAAGTCTTAGTTCAAGAAAACGTATTTATTTAGTAAGCTGTATAAATATACTCTTATTTCTGTTAAAACAATGCAGAAAAAGAAGCATAGATAAAGCAAGACAAATAGCAAATATTAACAAATAAGATGAAATCAGATGAATCAACAGAATAAAGCTATAGAAGCTGTAAAAAAAATTAGAGGAAAAGAAAGCAGAAGACAAAAGAAGCATAGAGAACAACGAAGGTGCTCATCCTGCTAATGAAGAAACATTAACACAAACTTTCAGACATACCATCTTGAGGGGAATAATTGGTGCTGCATAAGGAGATTCAGAAAGAAGAATGCAATTCCTTGAACCGCCATGGCAACCAGGTTCTTCCCAACAAAGTCCCACTGAAAAGGATTGGAAACATGCTCCTCACCTTTGGAGAGGTGAAGTACCAGAAAGCAATTAAATACTGCTGAAAAAGCATTGCTCATCAGAACAGAAGGTGTGAACACATTAATTTAGGAAGGAAATCTAATTTTTAATCACTATCAGTCGAAGTCTACCATTTTTTCATTGCATCAATAAATACAGATTCTTAAGAAACCACTGCTACATGGGAGTAAAAATGAACATACGCTCTCTGAGTATATATGAATACACATGTATTACATAATGCGAAATCTGCATGGATTACATGAAAAATATTTTTTGGGTGGGGAAAAAAATTGCTGTATCATTATGCTCTTAGTAAAGAAATTGGTATAAGGAAACAGCCACGTCCCTAAAGAATGCATTTGAAGAACATTTACTTTAAAAATTAATGAGGTCCACTTAAGTATTCAAATGAAATGAAATTATATATCCTAGATGTGATAATCTAGGGACTTCAGGAGAAGTTATGAAAATACACCAGTCTGGCACTGAACAAATAGTTTAACTTTCAATACAGACCACTAGTCAGGCCCTAAAGTTCTGGCAACATTATCAGCTGTGATTCCTTTAGGGAGGCTGAACTTTCATACTCAAACACCTGATCATGTGAAAGAGAAGGATTTTAGAAATAACCACTAATGTTCCAAAACAGTTCCAGCCATTTCATTCAAGGTCAGGCCAGATACCACTGATACTTTGTTGGTTATTATATCTTACTTACCAAACCTGGCATATACTTCACTCACAGCCTGGTTTATGGCCAAGTCGATGAGGCCACGGCCCAGGCAAAAGTGTGGGAAGACAATTAGCACATTTTTCAAAGTTTTGTTAAATTTCAGCAAAGTCTATAGGAAACAGAAGCAATATAGTTAGCAATTCAAAGAAGATTTCTTTGAGGAAACGTGTAAAAAGAAGTGAAAAGTTCTTTTTTCATGTCAGAGAAATGGTTTGCTCCGCATCTATCAGTGGCAGAACAGAACACACTGCACCAGGCAAGGTGCTTCTGAAAAATTTACAGCAGGGAGAAAAGTTACTCTTTGTAATGAAATATCCTTCTATTACATGTTGCTGAGGCAACATGTAAGTCTAGTGTCAGCAATCAAAGCAGGAACTATGAGCAACAAGTGTGGTACTTCCATATCATAGCATCTGTATTTATTGTCATAACCAGGACTCTCATAATCTTGAGAAGCACCAGTGTCTGGACATAACAGTAGACTTTGTTGGAATGTGGAAATACTCAAAACAGTAAAAGTACTTGCATCAATCTAACTGCACCATCATTGATTCCAGAGAAGGGCAGTTATCCCTGTCACTGTTTCACTGGAGATGTGTTCCCTGAGATAATACTTGCCTACTGTCCTCCAGACAGATTGGCATTAGACTGAACCCCATGTTGCCCAGGACAGAAAATGCAAGAACAGCAAGGATAGAAAGTATTGTAAAATTGGTCCTTGATACCATGACTCCAATCGAATAAAGATGTGTTTTTTTTCTTCCTGATAAAAATAATGCTTGATCAGCACACATCTGAAAATGCATCATCGATAATGACAGGTAATAGGCCTGCAGTCATCTATAGGAAAGATGTCAACCTCAGAGTAAAAGTATCAGCAGCTATAGAGGCAGTAATAGTGCATACAAGCTAACAGTGTTTTATAAACTGGTTTCTTCTCCTTTCTAAGAACTACCGCGTTCAATCTATTCTTGTACTTGGCTAGCAGAGCTAAGTGCTGCCTCAGTGTCATTCCTCATGCATGTGGATGGTTGCTTGCCCAAAGTACTGATTGCCTTGAGGTTCACTTCCCTGGATTATTCTGCTCACCCGTTCCTGACATAACTCAGCAAGTTCCTCATTCATTCATTTAATACCAGAAGAATGACAAGGATGAAAAAGACAACTAGAGATGGTTATGTTTGGACACCCTTTGAACAGCTTTTTAAAACCATGTCACAACAAAAATATTTCTTACCGGGTTATTTTCAAATAGCTCCAGAATAAATGTAATAGCACTGCTGTTGATCCCCACAAAGAGATTAATGCAAGACAATGCAACATATGCAGTGCTAGGGACACTGAAGAAAGAAGAAGCAGGGTACATCATGGGAATTACTGCCCACCTGCATGCAAAAGATAGAAATACTATGACATCTGCTTCTCAGTATTATGTCAGCTGGCCTAATAAAAACAAAATGATGAGCTTAGTTCTCATCTCAAGTGTAATGAAATGTTGTAATCAACCAGAGGTCCCACTACAATATGTTTTCCCTTGCTACTAGACACAAAGCTTTTTCTGCTTAGTCTTGTTTGCTGTTGAAGTGTAAGGCAACAGATTGTTAAAATTGAGAAACAATGCTAGTAAGTCATTATCACCCCAAATATCTTTGCATACCTCACTGGACTGTACACTTAGTGGAAGAAACAAGGGATAAAATGGAAAAGCAGGAGCTTCCTGTACGATTATTTCTGAGACATAGCAAACACGTAATAGTATGCTACTGGAATAAAATCACAATTCTCAGCAGCAATCAACCTGACCGATTTGGCTACTGGGACAACATACACATCATTAGAAAGAATGATCCTAAATTTCCCATTGTGACAATGGCTGGAGACAAAGGCTGATGCAGGACTCTGAATTTACTTGCCTTTTTTAGAATTTTATTTTGAATAGTGAATTGTGAAATTATTACTGAAGTCACTGCTACGTGATTATATGTTTTCCATCTTGATAGACGCTTTATAATATGAGAGGCTAATTCAAGTGTCCACAAATTACAGTATTTAGAAAACAAACACACATACAAAACACATAACCACATAAAACTTACTAAAGATACTATCACTGAACTTTAAAAAGACATAATGAAGCAAATGAATATTCTAATAGCATTTAACATTGACTGTTTTACAGAGATTGAATAAAGCTTTGCATTTTCTCAGGACTATTATTCAAAGAATATAAAAACTTCAGAAAATTAAGGTACTATGTCCAGAAAAGACCTGTGGCCTCTACAATTTGATTTGTGACATATACAGGAAGATGTGAAAAGTTTAAATTCTTTTTCAGCTCCAGAGACAGATCTTATGGATTTTTTTCCAATTACCCTACTACAAAGCTAGAAGGAAAATGATCTAATAAAGACATACAATCACTAATTAAATTATAGAGGAAGTAAATTCCAGTCAGTCTTATAAAACACTATTTTGACAACAGAAATGTTCCTTCGAAGAAAAAGAAGTTGATGTTTTAGTACCGTTTGCCTTTGGATAAAATACTGGTAAATATTTTAGTACTGCCTGTTGTTGAAGGAAATAAGCATAATATACATAACAGAAAGGAGCAAGATGATGTATCAGGTTTACAAGACCAAGTTTTAGTAGCTGGAGCTGCAGATTTGGGTTCAGCTCCATGTCAGACCAGAGCCAACTCCAGGCAACTCCAAACTGGACCCACTGCTGGCCAGAACTGAGCGACAAGCAACACTGGGTATGCCTCTGGAAGAGCAGATTTAAGAAAGGGAAAACTACTGGGCAACAGCAACTGGAACAAAGGAGTGAGAGAATAAAACTGCCATGCAGTCACTAAGGTCAGTGTAAGAGGAGGGCAGGAGGTGCTCCTGCTGTGGAGCAGAAGCTCCCTGGAGCCCAGGAAAAGCCCATGGAGAAGCAGGTTGTTGCCTGCAGTCATGGGCACTGCACAGAACTGATCTCCATGTGCAGCCAAGGAGAAGACCCCAGTGCAGCAGTGGTTGTGCCCTGAAGTAGGTACAGCCCATGGAGAGCCCCTGCAGGAGCAGCCCAGGGCTGGAACTACAGCCCGCTGGGAGCAGCCAGAGGTAGGGGCAGGAGGGCCGGGGGAGCTGCTGACTGCAGGGACATGTGCTAGAGCAGCACGCTCCTGAAGGATGGGCCCATGGTACAGAGTCATCTTAAAGCAGTGCTTGGACAGCTGCAGGCTGTGGGAAGCCCGCACAGGATCAGTTTGGGAAGAATAGCATCCCGCAGGAGGGACATCACATGAAGCAGGGGCAGAGACTGACCAGGACAAAGTGTTCGGGGCTGACTGCAGCCCCTATTCCCCATTCCCCCCTGTGTATTTGGGGGCAGGAGAAAGGAGAGGGGGGATGAGGGGAAGATGCTTTTTGTTTGCTTTAAGTTTTCACTGTTCTATTTTGCCTGTGACACTACTTGGTGAGTGATACCCTGTCATTATCTCAGCCCACCAAGCTTTATTCAGCATATTTTCTCCTCCTGTCCTTTTGAGGACGGGAGTGAAAGAGTGCCATGGTGTTTAGCTACCTACTGCAGCTAGGTTAAAGCACCACAAATGAACAAATTTAGTTTCCTAAAAGGATAACATGAAATCATGAAAAGTTCTGTGAAGCCATGATGAAACTCTTTTTAAGGCACGTGACCAGACAAAGAGCATAAATAACCTGAATCGGGAACAGAATCCAGCTCTCTCCTACATTGTACAAACTCAATTTTATTTCTGAAAGCTGGATTTCACTAAGTACCAAGTTCAACAACACAAAATCATTTCCATGTGAAAGATAGGGCTCCATGTGCAAAAAAACACCATGAAGACTCACCCATACAGAAGCAGCAAGGCAACAAACACAGGGAGGTTAGTCCGAGAAGTGTATGCTTTCTTCTTGAATCCAATGAATATAACCACAACCAATCCAGCACTCACTGCATAATTCACCTGCCACATCACAGAGTGAATGAAGATCAGTGTGTAAGACCTGAGGAGATTTACAAAAGTATCCAGATCCTATAAATTATTCTCAAAGGATTTTGTATTGAGGAAAACTGGAATTAGCAAGACGGATTAGATGCTCAGGCTTGTGGCTCAACAGGCCTCTGGCAGCACTTTACATTTTTCTGTAATCTTTCTACATCTTTCTACATTTTACATCTTTTATCAGATTGTACATCAAAAATAAAACATGTTCGTTTGATTGTTTCAAGGTCCTGCTGGCAGGCTGCCCACAGAAAAAGGCAGTGAGTATGCAAGGAGATGTGATTTCTGGTGTAAAAGCTGTATAGGAAAGAAAAAGCTAGTAACTTGAGCCACATTCCTGGAATGAAGCTAAACTGAACGGTGCTTGGCCAATGCTCTCCTCAATTTCTCTGTTCAGCATTAGTAGTGTAGGACTACTGCAATACACAGAGCTCCCCATGAATACTGAAAGGCAGCACTGCACAGAACTGCTAACTCCAATAACTTTGCACTATGCTGTCAAGGGCCATGACCAAGCAGAATTTCTGACTGAAGGGATGTTGCTGTGA